ATAAGGTTTCCTCATATTCTTGAGTGGCTCCAAAACCACATGGGCAAGAAGGGGAGGCCCAAGTCTCAACAGAGAGAAAACTCAAGATGGGCTGAACTTTGAATGCACTTCCTAGCACTCAAACAGTTGGATGGACAGAGGGCAGCAGCTCTAAAGCTCCAGGAACTCGAGCCTGACCTCTGCCCTAGTCATGGCTGACCAATAAGCTGTGGAGACATAGGAGTAATGCTTCTCCAGGTTAAGGGTGGTGGTGATGGGGGATATGAATGAAACAGAATGAATCACTAAACAGAAATACCAGTGCCATCACACACTGCAGTGCAGGAGTCAGATTCCAGGGTAGGTAAATTGCCTAAAGCACAGGCGACTCCTCATCACAATCAACTGGCTCTCATTAGAGGCCAAGGGCAGCACAGTGACCTAGTCTAAGTACTGGAGGAGGAGTAGGGAAATAGGGGATGGGTGTGTGAGGGGAAGCTAGTGGTAGAGCACTTGCCTAACATGTCTGAGGCCCTGGTTTCAATACCAACACTGAAAAACAAAAACCAGAAAGAATTCTATACCTAACTGGTCTTCAAAAATACATAGGCATAAAAGACATTCACAAATAAACATAAACAGAATTTATTTCAAGCAGATCTACACTACAAAAAAACACTAAAAGCAGCCCTATAGGATGAAAGGAAGTGACACTGGATAATAACTCGGATCTACAGGATAACATGAAGATCACTGGAAATGACAAATTATTTTTAAGACACATTAATTTGATGTGGAAAATATATAGCGAATTCTAAAACTCAACACCTAAGAAAATCAATAACCTGATTAAATCTTACCAAGAAGATATAGAGACGGCAAATGCGCACATAAAATGATATTACACATCATATTTCCTTAAGGAAATGAAAGCGAAGACAACAGTGGGCTGCCACAACATGACTGTTAGAATGGTTCAAACACAGGTCACTAATAACTCCGAACACCGCCAAGGACGCAGAGTGATAGAAACTCTCATTCACTGTGGCAGAAAGAAAAATGGCGTAGTGCTATGTAAAACAGTCTGACAGTTCTTTACAAAACTAAACAAACTCTTATCATATGATCCAGTAATTGTGCTCCTTGGTATTTATCCAAAGGGGCTGAAAACTTAAGTCCAGAAAAACCCTGCACACAAATGTTTACAGCAGCTATAATCATAGTTGCTAAAACCTAGAAGCAACCAAGAGATACTGCAGAAGGTGGATGGACAAACTGGAACCACCACAAAATGGAGTATTATTCAGAGCTAAAACAGAATGAGCTATCAAACCAGGAAGACATGGAAGAACCTTAGGCACATATCACCAAGTGAAAGAAGTCAATGTGGAAGAGCTGCATACTATACGTTTACAACTATGTGACATTCTGGAAAGGGCAAAACTATACAGAAAGTAAAAAGATCAGTATTCCAAGGTTTGGAGGAGGGAGGGATGAACAACTAGAATAGAGGATATTCAGGGTAAGGAAATTAATCTGCATAGTGCTGTAATGGTGAATAAATGTTCAGATATGTTTATCCAAACCTATAAGATATACACAATCAAAAGTGAACCCTAATGTAAAATATGAACTTTGGGTGATAATGACAGGTTAATATAAGTTTATTAACTTTAACAATATACTATTTTGGTGCAGGGTATTAATACTGAGGGAAGCCATGAAGATATGGGAGAGGAAAGTATATGGACTATGTCTTCTTCTTAATTTTGATATGAATCTAAATCTGCTCTATAAATAGTCTTTTAAAAGAGCTAAGATTGTTTGACATAATTATTATATTATTGCATTTCTACTATATACAAGTATTTTATATGTATTGCTATATATATATATATTTATACACATATATGACAATATAATAGCACAGATGAGTATGAGAAGTGGAGCTATATTGGAGCAAAGCTGCTATATTTTACCAGAATGATACATATAGACATAGGCACATATACACACATACACATATATACCTCAACTGGTTGTGTTTACTCAAAACTGTAATCTCTTGACCAAGCACTAAGAAAATATAAGAACAAAAATACAAATTAAAAATAACTAAGTTGTATATGATGGTACATGCTTGTAATTCTAGTTATTCAAGAGGCTAAGGCAGGAGGATCCCAACTTTGAGGCTAGCCTGGGCAAATTAGTGAGATTCTGTCTCAAAAAATAAAAATGGCTGGGGATATAGCTACACAATACTGTGTAGCATATGTAAGACCCTCGGTTCAATCCCTAGAAGCCCCCCCCACCAAAAAAATCCCCAATCTCTCCCCTAAAACACACTCCCAATAAACAACTAATGAAAGAAAATCAAAAAGGGATTTAATGGCTCCAATAAAAATTATTTAACTGAAATCAGTTAAGAAGGAACAGAAGAACCCTTCAAAAAACAGAAAAAAAGCCCCCCAAAACAAAAAAGAGACATAGTAAAATGGCAGACCATAAGTCTACTTATATTAATAACTGTATTAAAATGTAAACAGACTAAATGCTCCAATAAACAGGTGGACAATTTCAGACTGGATAAAGAACATCCAGTTATATTTTTCTTTTTTAAACAAAGATGTACTTTCGATTAAAAGAGGTTGAATCAAAGTGGCTGAAAAGATATACCATGTAAACAGCAAGGAAAAAAAGAGCCAAAGTAAGTAATCCAGGAGTCATGGTGATCACATGCCTATAATCCCAACTACTTGCGAGGCAGACCAGGAGGAGCTCAAGATCCAGGCCAGCCTGGGCAAAGGTAGCAGCAAGACCATCTCAAAAACAAAATAAAAACAAAAGGGCTAGGAGTGTAGCTCAAGTAACAAGGCACTTGCCTAGCATTTGCAAGGCCCTGGGTTTAACCCCAGTACTGTAAGAAAAAAAAAAAAAAAAGTAAATATAAAGGCTGAAGTGGCTATATTAAAATCAGACAAAATAGAATGTAAGGCAAGAAATATTACTAAAGACCCTGAAAAGGGGTCAACTGGTTGGACTGCTTTGTAGGTTAAATTATCTACTTACAAAACCATAAACAAGTCTCAATAAATTTTAAAAGACTGAAATTACACAAAGTATTTCTCAAACCACAAAGGAATTACATTAAAGAAAGAAATCTGGGAAATTAAAATTAACATACTTCTATTAATTCAGGATCAAAGAAGAAACTGTAGGGAAATTTTAAAAACATCTTGAAAATGAAATAATAATCTATCACCATTTATGGGACCCAACTAAAAGGACAGTTAAGGAGAAATTTAGAGCTTTAAACACAGAAGGAAGAAAACCTAAAGTCAATCACCTTAGTTTCTAACTTAAGAAGCTATGAAAATAAGACCAAGCAAACAGTAAAGATCAGAGTGGAAATCAATAAAATATGGAAAAGAAAAACAATAAAAAAAAAAAACTACTGTGACCTAAAGCTGGCTTTCTAGAAAGATATGCAAAATTAATATACCTTAGCTAGACTGACTAAGAAAAAAAAAAAAGAAGACATAAATTACCAAAATCAATAATGAAAGACAGGATATCAGTGCAGACTATAGAAAATGAAAAGTACTATGGGAGATCATTACAAATATTTTATATTAACAAAGTTGTAAGTTTAGAGGAAATAAATTCTCAGAAAGACACAAATTACCCAAAATGACAAGAAACAGACAATGAAATAGTAAAGAACAGGAAATACAAAGACCAATAACTAGTATAGAAACAGATTTAGTAATCAATACCTTGAAAAGACTCAGATATATATTTTATATATCTATAAATATAAATATAAAAATTAGAGGGCTCTTTTGATAGAGTAAAAACCCCTTTTAAAAATCCCACAGACAATATGATTTGCTGAATTATGATATGTGAAACATATGTATGGTTCATTTATAACATTTCTTTTTACTTTAGCAAGTAAGTAGTAGGGATGAGGTCAAAGGGATGGGATGGTGCTAGGGACTAGAAAACCAGGCACAGAGTTTGGACTTTATTCTAATTGTGTTAGAAACAGAATTAAGCAGGAAAACAGTACAATTTGAGTTTAAAAAAAAAAGCCAGAACAACATCTTGGCTGCCATGTGGAGGATGGATGGCTACATAGTAGTAACACAGGAAATAACTGATGTGGTTTAGACCAGCATGGCGATGCCTTACCTGAATCAAAATCCCTTAACAACCTCTTGAGACAGGTGCTATTATCTTCATTTATCTTCTTAAGCCAAGGCACAGGGAGATTAAATAACTGGCCTAACATCTTATGCTTAGGAGAACCTTAGGTGGAATTCAACTGTAGCCATCTCTTTCAACAGCAGTAGTGAGAAGAAGAGGGTGAAGTAGTGAAATGTTTTGAACTGCAATTGATGAGACTTGTTAATGGATTAGAAGTAGATATGAAGAACATAAAGAAAGGACCCTTAGGTTTTCCTTAAGCAAGTGAATTTGTTATAGAGCCAGCATATAAAATAGGAAGATGGGATCCAGGACTCAAACTTGGGAATGCTGTGACATTAAAATTTGAACAGAGGAGGAGGAATCAGCTAAACACCCAGTGCTGAGGAGGAAAACTGGGAGGGCATAAAACTAAGAGACCACGTATTTTAAGGAGGAGGCAAAGTGTAGAATGCTGCTGAGAGACTGTACAGGTGAGAACAGTGAAGGGGTTGCACAATGGAGGTTCCTTGGGATGTTGAGATGAACAGCATGCCCTAAATTTACTTTCACCACTGTATTTACTTTGCTGTTGCCTATATCTCATCTCTATATGGTTGCAGTGATCTGGGCAGGACCAAGGGGTTTAATTCAAACTCCCTATCTTTTAATCATGATGCTTGGCGTAGATCTGCAATTACATGCATGCTATGCAATGGAACAAAAATGCTCAATGAATTCAAAGGGTTTTCTGGTTCTTTTGATTAGGGTGGAGATTTCAGTGTGACTAACACACATCCTTCTACCTCCATCTCCTATCCTAAGTCACATACCGTGAGAGATCCATTTTGTGTGCTGGGTGAGTTGCTACTCTGTTCTCCATGGGCTTGCGTGCCTGCGTAGAGTGTCAGGTTATGCTCACTGGTCTGGCCGGCGTAGTCCTGAGTGTGTGGCACTCCATATTCTGTGGGAATTCCATTCTGTGGAGGTGGTGGGAATGGGATGGTAGTAAAAGGCTGAACCATTGTGTCAGGTGTTGTTGTTGGCTCCTGGTTACCCTAGAACACACAATGAAAGATAAAGGGAGAAAGATGACTTTACTTATTTAAATCCTCATTACAAAATTACTCTAAAGTGAGTATGCAGAATTCTCCAGCAATTCTTATCACATAGGTAGCACAGGACACTTACTTCCCTGGATGGGGAAAAAACTGTTATACATATACATACAGATGGATTTAAGTAGAAACACATAAATACCTCAACTTAGGCTAATTTGTGGTTACTATAAATTACTCCATTAAAGCTGACTAGATGCCAAGGTCAAGAATTTTCCTTTAAACCAAGTTTTAGAAAATATCTGAGGGTTAGGGGCATGGCTCAAATGGTAGAGTACTTGCCTAGCATATACAATGCCCTGGGTTCAAGTCCCAATACCATGCCAAAAAGGGGGAGAGAGAGAGAGAGAGAGAGAGAGAGAGAGAGAGAGAGAGAGAGAGAGAGAGAGAGACCCAGGAAATTTCTCCCACAAGATAAGCTGTCAGAACTAGTGGAGTGGCTCAAGTGGAAGAGCTCCTGCCTAGCAAGTGTGAGGCCCTGAGTTCAGTATTGCCAACAAAACAGAAAAAACACCAAAATATAAAAAAAAAAGAGGTGAAATTAGTTTGGGCCATTAATATCTTCTTTAAGATCCTCTTGGGGCTGGCAGAGTAGCTCAAGTGGTAGAGTGCCTGCCTAGAGAGTGTGAAGCCTGGCATTCAAAGTGCCACACACACACACAAAAAAGACAACACAGGCCTCTAGATTTTTAGAATATCGAGTTCAGAGGGAAGCATATTTCTAAAAAAAACAATCTTTAGAAATTAAGGTACAGATTTATTTAAATCTTAATTACTAAGTTAATAATAATAAAACTTTCCTTTAGGAGATAAGTGCAGTAGCTCATGTTTGTAATCCCAGCAACTTGGGAGGTGGAGATCTGGAGGATAGTGGTTCTAAGACAACTCAGGAAAGTTAGTGAGATCCCCATCTCAACAAACAAGTCAGAAATGGTGCTGCATGCCTATAACCCTAGTTTCACAGGAAGAACAGGTAGGAAAATCATGGTCCAGGCCAACTGTGGGCCAAAAAAAACAAAAAAGAAAAGAAAAGTGAGACCCCATCTGAAAAATAACTAAAACTTTTTTTTTACAGTCCTGGGAATCGAACTCAGGCCCTTGAACATGTGCTAGACAGCATTCTGCCACTGAGCTACATTCCCGGCCCCTGAAAGTTTTCTTTAATTCAAAACATTAGAAACAAACACTTCTCAGACTGAAAAAGAATATGGAGATGATTTTCACAATTACTGTGAGCCCTATAAGGCTAACGATGTACCAGAATGGCTCTCCATCTGGCCTCCATTCCCACATGCTTTTGTTTGGAATCCCAAGTGGTATCTGAAATGTCAATGAAGAAAATGCAAGATGCAGGAACTATGGGAAACTCCAGAGAGAGGCCATTTTGGTGCCAAGGCCTCTTTCTCACTTCTCTTCTGTCTTCAAGGTCAGATATAAGAGAATCTTGTGTTACAGATTTTGCAAAGCCTTCACTATGATCCCTTCTCAACAACTGACCTCCAACCTCTCATTTCATTCTATAAAAAGAGGCCATTATTTTACTGAAGACACACCAGTCTGCAAAGTCTTGGGCCACTGTCTTTCTGGAAATAGCTGGCAAAGATGTCTGAAGGCATCCACATGATAGTGTATAGATAAGGTCCCCCATGGTTTAGACATAAGAACACTACAGATCAAAGAAAATCGGGCTTGTGTCATCGCTTCTTTCAAACAAGGAAGAACCATTCCACTTCTCTCTCATCCCAATTATCCTTTCTCCTCAGTTTGAGAGGATTCTGCACCGGCCCAGAATTGTAGGAACTTGCACTTTCTGCAGCAGTCTCTAAACAGCATCCCAGGCTTTCCTCATTAACTTGAGGGCCTAACTCCTTCTATCAGACAAAATGAATACAAAGCTGCAGAACGAGCTCATGTTATTCTGTTAAAGAAGGCTTAACCATCATTACTACATTTATTTTGCATAAAATGAAACAGAAAATTTAGAGTGTTGTAATTGAAAACAATGTATGACTGTGGATTGGAAGTATCAATATTGTTAAGATGACCACCTACCCCAACCCCCACAAACCCAATCAAAAATCTCAGCAGGCATTTTTTTCTTGAACTGTGACAAGTTGTTATCAAAATTTATATGGAAATGCAACACAGCAGCAAAAACAATTTTGAAAGAGAAGAACAAAAACTGAAGGCTTTCATACTACCTGATTTGAGGGTTTATGGAAACAGTGTAATATTGGCTTAATGACAGATGAATAAAACATAAAGAGTCCAAAAGTAGACATATGCAAATGCTGTCAATATTAGGGCATCAAGCCAACTCAATGGGGAAAAGAAAATATTTCTGACACATGAATAACTCAATGTCTACTCCAAAATGCAAAAGTTAACTTGAAAGACATAACAGACCTAAATATAAGAGTTAAAAGTATAAAGCTTCTAGAAACAAATATAGGAAAATTTAACAACTTTGGGATAGCCAAGAATTCTTAGGATATGAAAAGTAGGAACCATTAAAAACTGACAAACAAAACTTATCAAAATTAAAAATCATCTACTTTTTTTTTCTCTGTGGTACTGGGGCTTGAATTCAGGGATTACACCTTGAGCCACTCCACCAGCCCTTTTTTGTGATAGGTTTTTTTGAGATAAGGTCTCAGGAACTATTAGCCCAGGCTGCCTCCTGAGTAGCTAGGGTTACAGGTATGAGGCAAATCATCTGTTCTTTGAAGGACACCACTAAAATAACAAAAGACAAGGCAGAGACTGTGAGACAATATTCATAATACGTATATTTAACAATACATATCCATAATTTGTAAAGCATGGTTCTAAATGAAGTACCTTTTTACAACTGCTAGATGGCTAAAAGAAGGCTGCAAACAGCACATGCAGACAAGCATGTACAGCAAGAACTTCATAGTGCTATGGACATGGAAAGTAAGTATCCACTTTTCAGAACTGTTTTTCACTTTTAATTTTTTTTTTATAAAGGTAAACCATTCCTTGTTTTTACTAAAACAAAACAAAACCCCCGAAGCATATGTCTTCAAACACATTTGTAAAAAATGTTCATGGACACCTCATTCATAACAGCCCCAAACTGAAAACAACTGAACATCAACAAGAGAATAGGAAAACAAACTGTGGACTATTCACAAAATGGAATGTTACTCAGAATTAAAAGGAAAAAAAAAAAAGGAAAGGGATTTTGGAATTAACAACTTGAATAAATCAGTAAATTTTAATATTGTGTTGAATGCAAAAGCTGAATAGCAAGAATATACATTGTATAAGCCTAAGTATATGAGGTATAAAGATAGGAACAACTAATCCGTGGGACAGAATGCCCCTCTAGTTTGAAGCACTGAACAACTTTGGCACTCTGAACATTCTAGAAAGATGGAAAGGCTATGTATCTTGTTATGGGTGGGTGGTAGTCACATGGATTCATCAATTGTCAAGACTCATTAAACTAAATACTTGGTAAATTATACCAAAAGAACAAATGAAGAAAAATAAAACAATAACCTAAAGCACTAAGCATCATAATAAACTCTGAAATACTAATGTCATTATTAAAAACCAAAAGACAACTGTAACCCCCAGCTATTTTATTTTACACAGGAGACAATATAAATGAAATGAAAATAAAACCATACAGATCAGTTATCCTTACAAATGATTATTTACATTTTAAAAACTCAAATGAATAAACTATAAATTAACAAAAATGTATAAGATTTATATATAACTTTTATTTATGTTGGCAGTATTGGGGTTTGTATTGAAGGCCTATGTTTGCAAGGCAGGTGCTCTACTAACTGAGTTATAGCTTTTTTTGATTTTTAGTTAATTTTTGAATAGGGTCTTGCTTTTATGCCTGGGCCGGCATGGATTTCCATTCTTTTCTTTATGCTTCCTGGAATAACTGGGATGACAGGCACATGTCACTACACCTGGCTTTTTATTGGTTGAGTTGGGGGTCTTGCTGTTTGCTCAGGCTGGCCTTGAACTATGATCCTCCTGATCTCTGCCTCTTGGGTAGGTAGGAATACCAGTGTGAGTCACTGTGCCTGACTATATAACTATTTAAGAACTAACAGTAGCCAGTTATTCAAAATAATTACAAAATTTATGATATAAAACATGTATTTAAAAAAACCTGAACAAAAGCTATACTTAGCTTAAGTACACCTTGAAAAATTTTTAAAAATTGTAGAAATGTTAATTGTTCGCCAAATAAAATGTATCCCTAATGTCCTTCCCAATCAGAAGTAAATGATGTCTGAGGAAGGAGGTGGAATACTTTTTCAATTTGTATAGGTAAAACTACCAAGGAAGTTTGAAAAAAAAAGTTTGAAAAGGGGACATAATATGTCACAGATTAAAACTTACCATAAAACTATGTAATTAAACAGTAAGAATATACAAAATGATCAATAGAATACTTGTAATCCTAAAACAGATTCAAGTGTATACGGAAACTTAATAGATGACACTCATCTTACAGTATTTGCAAAAATTGGCTTCCTGCCATGAAAAAATAAAATGAACTCCTCAGCTTATCTATCACACACACACAGAAAAATTCCAGAAAGAATAAAATCTAAAATAACAACTAGAACTATGAAATGCAAAAAAAAGTTAGGAGTATACTTGGGGCATGGGGGATTTTTAAGACAGGAAATCTAAAAACTAGGGGAAAATAATAGCTTTGGCAGGATTTGTCAGGAGGAGAAGAAAAGAGGAAAGAGAAAAGAGATGGGGCATGGGGGAGAAAAGAATTTTAAAGTCAAAAGAAAGCTGAGCATGGTGGCAAATCTCTAATTCCAGCTACTCAGGAGGTAGAAGTAGGGGGACTGCAGTCCCAGACTAGTCCCCGGAGGAAAAAAGTTAGAAAGACCCCATTTCAACATACAAGGTGAGAATGGCACTGGGCA